TTGATCAAAAGATGCTGGGATCATAATCCAGAAAATAGACCAACAGCTGAAGAAATTCATAATTGTTTTGGAAAATATTATTACTCATCTAAAAGAGAAAAAAAAATTATTAAATTAGCAGAAGCCAAGCGACAAAAAATCATCAATTCAGAAAAATACTTGTTAGATACAAAAAATTATAAACACCACCCAGAATCATTCTATACAAGTCGTCCACTAGATGAATCAATTCAGAAAGCTGAACTGTTAAATTGTTCATGGCTTATTGATCTCAAAATTTCTTGAGTGATAAAAAGATGGTTGTGAACTTGATTTATTAATTATTATTAATTATTGTTACTATTATTATTATTATTATCATTATATTATATAAATTAAAATCATTATGTATTTTTCTCTTAGTTGAATAAAACAAATAAAACATTACTTATCTTTTTATTATTTAATCCTTCCCTTGCATGTTGTGATTAAGCACCAAGAAAACAAAAGGCAATCCCATTATATTTGTAAGAGATCAATTGTTCTTGCAAATGCATAACAAAAGATAATATTGATTTTATAAAAAAAGCAAGCCATTTTGACCTTTTATGATTTTCCTTTGTACTAGAAAAATGGTTATTATTGTATTAAAAAAATAATTTTATCAGCAAGTTTTTACAAAAGAAATAATCCTATTTTTACAATGCAAGAACCATCATCAAACAAACTGGGTACATAAAGCTCTGAACGAATCAATGAAGTTTGCATCTATAGTAATCTGTTATCAATAATAATGATGATGGTGGCCAAACTACCTTACCTAGTGGGCCAAAATTGCCGAAATTAATTGGCCTAAAAATAATTTTAATGGCTGAAATTGGCAAATTTATTTATAAGTTTGTATTGATTTAGATACTCATTATATGCATTGGGCAAAACTACCTTTTTTTTCAAACCATATCATTAAATAATATCCTTTATCAAATAAATTTAAAAATATACACAATCTTGGTTTAGCAGATAGTTTGGGTAATTAGAAAATTTTTCCAAAATCCGTTATTATTATATCAATACAGTCAGACCTTGATATTGGCAATCTTGCCACAACAGATTTTAAATAAATTTTTCTTATGTCCCGTTCACCTGCATCAAGAAATCCGTTATATTGAGAAGAATTTTATTATTATAATTTTAGTTATTATTATCATTAAATCGAGGTACACTAAATTGAGATTCTAAAAAAATATTTAGGAATCCAGTTTGATTTGGATCGAATCGAATTTTAGAGTGGATCGTTTCGTTTTTGTTCGGAGGCTTAATATTAACTACAGCACTATAATTCGGGTTAATAGTGAATTAGGGTTTCTATTCGTAATACAAATTCTTATTCGAATTATTCGTAATACAGTTGACCTTTAATATTAATTCGAATTAATATTAATATTAATATTAATATTAATATTAAAAAGTTTATTCGAATTTAAAAGTTTATTCGAATTAAAAATTTAATTCGCTTTATTCAAATTATTATCGAAATCATGGGTTTGTTCATTCATTTTATTAGATTATTTGGAATCATGGGTTGTTCAATTACTTAAATATTCAAACTATATATA